TTCTGTCCGGTGTAGGTTCGAATACCCACGCGCGCGTCGTCGTCGTCGTCGTCGTCGTCGTCGTCGTCGGCGGCGGCGGCGGCGGCGGCGGCGGCGGCGGCGGCGGCGGCGGCGGCGGCGGCGACGATGCTGCTACTACTCTAGATAAATTTGGCGCACCTGTTGTGCACTGACGACGACCTGTGCCTCGCCTCAGGGTAATTTGGTTTTTGTGCCCTAGGTAGGGCGCCGTGCGTAATTTGCCTGGCCTGATGCCCAGCCCCCAGGGGCCTGACGCCCAGGTCTGAAGTCCCTGTCTCATGACGCGCACTAAGCGTGCCGTGAACGGGCAGTTGAGAAGACAAATCCGACCGGAAATCTACCGGAACACCGGAACACGCCGGAACACGCCGGAACACGACCGGAGGACGCGAACCGGAACACGCGACCGAGGGGCCCGGGAGAGCCGGAAGCCGGAACATCCGCGAGACCTCTACCGGAACATCAGGGCCGGAACATCAGCGCATTCGGTGTTTCACAATGTTAAGTTGACTGTGTCAGTGGGAAAAAGTGGACACGAAACAGCTGAGATGGGTTTCAGGCACCCATAGAGGCGTCACCCACGCACGTAGACCGCGCGCGTTTGGCCCGCGTGCGCGGCGCGCGACAGCGCTCGACGCCGTCCGCCCGGCCTCGACGAGTCGCCCACGGGCCCAGGCGGACCCGGAGACACGAAGGCGCGCGCGGCGGGAGGCTTAACGGGCCGCGCGACCCCGTGGAGGAGCCCCCGTAGGGCCTGATCTAGGAGCCACCCTGGTATTTCCCGCGTTCAAGTTCGAGGGGCACACCGCTGGGGATTTCCTGGAGCCCCGGGAATGTCTCACCTGTCAGTTAGCCGCGGCTCAGGGAGGAATCGAAGGGAGAGAGAACAGCGAAGGGAGGCGTAGGGAGAGCCTGGGGAGAGCCACGGGAATGTCTCACCTGTCAGGGTTTTAGATGGCCATCACAGTGCTTGACAATCCACGCTACAGCCCATTTGAGATCAGTCAGTAAAAATTTCATTGCTTTTGTCCATTTCCCTTCGTTGCTTGTATGCATGACGGAAGATGAGTCGATCTTGTCATTCTGGATCAGATACGGGTAGCGCAAGGCTGGGTCTTTTGTCTCAACAAAATTTCCAAGTTCCTGTTTATAAAACAATATTAAAACGCAAACGGATTGGACAATACCCCCCACCTACCTACCTTGGCACATGTCAGCAGGGCAACCATGGCCTGATTGAAATTGCGTTTCGGTAGCAGTGAAAAGCTATCATCTGTATACAAACAGGTATTGAACCTTTGGATCGTTGGCTACAAATAGCAACATTTGAGTTGTGGAGGGCAGCAAGTCAAGGTACCAGATCTCAATTGG